TGTGTATGCCTGCAGGCCAGAAGAGGGCACCAGACCCCATTACAGATGGTTGTGAGCCACCATGTGGTTGCTGGGAATTGAACTCAGGACCTTTGGAAGAGCAGGCAATGCTCTTAACCTCTGAGCCATCTCTCCAGCCCTAGGAGCTGTTCTTATTCAAACTACCACAGATACCTTGTTTATCTTCAGTCTCTTGCACTAGCAGAAGAAATGGAAAAGGCCCGACCTTGCATCCCACAAGGTAATATGTGGCAATCTAGCAGAGACATGGTTTGAGCTGGAGCTCTGCACGTGTTTGGGTCTCAGAGACACTACCAAGTGCCCCAAGTCCTTCTGGGCATAATTCCTAATACTCATGACCATTTTCTTTTTTCATCCCTCAATGCTGGGAATTGAACTCAGGGCCTTGTGAATGTGAGTCAAACTCTGTAACAGGCCTGCAAATGGCCACTATTCCACGGAATTCAATCAGGAAAGGCCATACAAGAATGTCTGTGGTCGTGACAAATGCTGAGGAGACATTTCCTGGGGATTGTTATTCACTTAAATGTTGGTCATGTAAACTGTAAAAGCAGTATGGACTGATTGTCTTCATTTAAACAACAAAGAAACCCCCCCCCAAGAACTGTTGTCTTGCCTGGGTTCTCTCCCTCCCCCACTCCCCCCCCCCAATGTATTCACAGTCTTTACCACAGTTTCCTTTGCTCATAAAGACAAATGCTCCCAGCACTTGGGAGACTGAGGTAGGAGGACCAGAAGTTCAGCCTCATCCTTGCTATATTACCAGTTCAAGGCCAGTCTGAGCCACACCACTGAGACCCTGTCTCAACACACACACACACAGAGAGAGAGAGAGAGAGAGAGAGAGAGAGAGAGAGAGAGAGGAGAGATCCTATATGGCCAGGAGTGGTGGTGCATATTTGCAATCTCAGCACTTAGGAGGAAGAAGAAAAAGAGGGAGAGAGAGAGGGAGAAGGAGAAGGAGAAGAAAGGAGAAGGAAGAAGGAAGAAGGAAGAAGAAGAAGAAGAAGAAGAAGAAGAAGAAGAAGAAGAAGAAGAAGAAGAAGAAGAAGAAGAAGAAGAAGAAGAAACAGCAGCAAGAAGATAATCAGTTTGAGGCTAGCCTGGGCTACATAGCAAGTTCAAGGCCAGCCTGGAATACAGAGAGACCCTTTCTCAAGTTTTTTAAGGACAGTTGTGGTGGTGATTACCTTTAATCCAAGCACTTGGGAGGGGCAGAGGTAACTGAACCTCTGTGTGTTTGAGGCCAGCATGGTCTTCATAGTCAGTTCCAGGATAACCAGGCTACAAAAATTTATCTATCTATCTATCTATCTATCTATCTATCTATCTATCTATCTATCATCTGTCAATCATCTATCTTAGCATGC